CTTACCCTCTTTGGTCTTATACTTCATTAAAAATATTTTTTAAAAATTGAGGTATAATATGGTAAACACCCATATGGTAAAGTATACAAAGCTTAAGTATACAGGAGAATTAATTTTTTTTTACACACACACACAGTCTTGAATTATTCCAGTGGAACCCATTTAACTTCTTCCCTTAAGCCACATGACAACACACAGTGTTTTTCTCCCATTTGAAAAGAATTGGTGTCATATTGGTGTGCTCTTCTTGCTTAGAAAACCTTTCCAGGAAGTCTTTCAAAGTTTTCTTGAAGGATATAGAAATTATGTATCTCTTTCAACCCCCTGAAGTCTTGCACTTGAGTGACTTAATTAAATAGCTCATCAAAACTTAAAAACATACTAGGCCAATGTTTCTCAAGATATAACTGAGAACCAGCTGCTTCAGAATCACCTGGGAACTTCTTCAAATGTCAGATTCCTAAGCCTCTGCCCCACCAGATGAATCAGAAACTTTGGGAATGTGCATTTTTAACAAGTTTTCAAAGTGATTCTTATTCACACTAACATTTGAGAACTACTGTACTAAATGGCAAATTCCCAAAACACTGCAGCCTCCAGTATCTGGCCCAGGGCCTGGCGTTTGGTAGGAATACAATGAATGTTTGTTAAACAAATTAATCCACATTTTCTGACACAGTTTAGAGTTTCTTGGACCACATCATACTATTGTAATTTAACACCATTTCTATATTGGGGAATCTTTACATTCCAGAGTCTTTTTACCCAAATAGGTTTCATTTTAATGGAGTCAGAGAGAAAAGAGGGATCTACTTTGGTGGCTTCTCAAGTCTCAGGGAAGGTGTTTTATAAATGGAACCACCTTGCTGGACAGGCTGCTCCTTTTCAGGTAGTTTGGGGAGGGCAGGAGGAGAGCTCTTCAGGATTGCTGAAAGATATTCATCAGATGCACACCCTTCTTATTTGGAACTGAAGCCTTCTGTTTGGAGAGACACAAAGGCTCTGGAAGGAGCAGAGCCACCAGGTCCAGAAAATCTGGCATGAAATGAATGTACAAGCTGAAAATTACTCGAGTATTCTCATATTTCTTATAGAATATAAGAAACATATTCTATCTAGAAGCACATCTCCTTATCTTCTTACCCTGAAAACAGAAAATAAATATTGTGCTTTACATGGTAGTGTTGTATCCACTCTTAGAAATAATAATTACATCATATATGTACATGTAACATATATACTTTTTCATATAAAAAGTTTTTCCTTCATATAAAACTTTATATGAAAACATATTTATATTACAAAGTTTGTTATGTGTGCAACAATGTATATGAAAACAACACATACATGCATGCACACATACACACAAATAATACCCTACTCCTCAGTGTCTCACAAGATGGAAGATGCAGGTTTGGTTATAGAGAAAAAAAGTAATTTATCTTAATTAATTACGGGTTACTATTTATGGAGTCAGAACAACTAGGGTTCAAATTCCAGATCAGCCATTTAATAGCTGTGTTAATCTCATACAAATTAGTCAGCCGACTGCTCTAAGCTTATTTCCATATATGTCAAATGAAGATATTAATGGTACCTACCTCATAGAATTGTCATGGATATGTAATTAAATAACACATGTAAATAATTTAGTACAAGTCTAGTATGAATTATACACTCAAATAGTAGCTATTTATTTTAAGATTGTGTCATCGAAGAAGCTGATTATCTGAGATTCTCTCTGGGCCTCAGTTTTCCCATCTGTAGAATGAAGGGGCTGACCTAAAATCCTTTCTCAAAGAAGTACATAGAACATGATTGAACTAGTCACAGTGGAATTTACGCCCCTTGTCTTTAAACTGAGTACCACTGCCATTGGTAAGCATAGCATTTTTAGCAAAAATGATAAATTATTTTAATGATTTTGTAGATAGCTCCTAGCTGTCTGTTCTTTGGAGACTGCCTCATCTGAAGAGAGCCACTTTGCCCAAGATCATGCCCTGCTTCCCAGGGTGGTTCTCAGTGACCGAGAGACATGGGCATAAGCTTGGGCCTTGCATCCCAACTTTGGATAGCTTAGAAGGGTCGTCTCATCTTTCAAACTCCTTGAAAGGTTGGCTGAAGCTTCTGTTGAACCAATACAGTTTGACTTCTGTCCAATCCTCCTTCCTTCCTTTCTCTTCCATGGTTGTTGAACTTGAAGCACTCCATAGTAAACTTCCTACATGCTAATCTCACTTCCTGGGTAAGCTAGTTTGAATGAAATGGTATGGGAAAGAGAATACTAATGGAGAGGAAGCAATGAGGACCTAGACCATAGAATGACTAAGGACAACAGTGAGAGAAGAGGCAGGAATGTAGGCAGCAACTGCAATATCATGTTAATGGCATTTGGATTTTATTATTGATATGA